CCCCAAAACCCCAAAACCCCAAAACCCCAAAACCCCAAAACCCCTATGTTATTCTGATAAATTGATTCTATTTCTATTCCGTATAATCACTATGAAATTAGATGCACTTTCTGTGGACGATACTTTCTCCGAACTCAGCGTAGTCCTCCTTAGTGACCCACATTCCTGCGAATGTAGATAACTTAGCGAGGGTTGATCCTCCTCTCCATACTGCGTATTTTCTGTCTGGGGACGCAATGACCTTGACCTTCATTGTCTGTGGAGCCAAGTCTTTCATTTCCTTGTAGAGCCTCTCTCCGAGTCCTGGGAACATGGTGGTTCCTCCGGAGAGAATGATGTTAGCGTATAAGTCCTTCCTGACATCCAAATCACAAGTCATGATGGAGTCGTAGGTCAGTTGGTGGACGCTCTTGCATTCTCTGCCTCCCAAGTCTGGCTGGAACAAGAACTCTGGGCATTGGAATCTTTGAGTGGAGATCTTGAGTGGCCGTCCATCTGGCAATGCGTATGACTCTTCTAGCTCACCTCCTTCTCCTGCTTTCTTGAGCTCTGCCTCGTAATCATCAGCAACGTAGCATAGCTTCTCTTTGATATCTCTGACAGTTTCCTTCTCGGCAGTGGTCTCGAAGTGATAGTCATCGTCCTTGAGGATTCTACACATGTAATCAGTAAGATCTCTTCCTGCAAGAAGGATTTTCTCAATGGCGTGTGGGATTTGATAACCTTCGAAGATTGGCACAACATGTGTTACACCATCTCCAGAATCAACAACGATACCAGTGGTTCTTCCTGCTGAGTACAATGACAAGACAGCCTGGATTTGGATATACATGCTAGGGAAATCATATTCTTCAAACATAATTCTACACATATTCTCTCTGTTTTGCTTTGGATTCAATGGAGCCTCAGTCAATAGAACTGGATGGTTTTCTGTCTCAATTCTAAGTTCATTGTAGAAGGTATAGTCCCAAATCTTTTGCATACCATCCCAATCCTTAATCATTCCACTTTTGATTGGATATGACAGAGTACAGACACCTCTCTTTTGTTGGGCTTCGTCTCCAACGAAGCAATCTTTGTTTCCAGCTCCACCGACAATAACTTGCTTAGTCTTTGGCTTAGCAACAACTGATGGGAATACTGAGCATGGTTGGTTTTCTCCTGCAAATCCTGCTTTGACAACACCTGAACCATTATCAACTACGATGGCCTCTTTAGCATTTTCTTCTTCGCTCATTTTTGATAGATATAATAAAATATATTAGAATGGGCAATTTTATTTTCTTTATTAGGGGTTTTGGGGTTTTGGGGTTTTGGGGTTTTGGGGTTTTGGGGTTTTGGGG